CGTGGACTTGTGAGGGTCAACGGTCATTATTCTTCAAATCTGCGAGTTCAACAACAATCACACTAAGACTGCTCGCTCGTATTTGCTCGCGTGTTGTTCATGACGTATATCCCAAACCCTCGGTGCCCGCCTTCTTCGTCTTCGATCGCGCCCACCTTGAGGGCGTGCCTTCCCCACCTGCCGCGCGTAGTTGGCGCGGCGCCTGAAGCGGGGGAAGGAAGGGGGGGGGGAGAGACATGAGGGAGGGAAACGGATGGAACACGAGAGAGATTTCCAGGGGGAGGGCCAGGAACAGGAACGCAACCGACAGAACCAGACGGGCGGGTCGGGCGGGCGGGCCCTATCGAGCAGGTCGGGCGGGCCGACCCACATGGGAAGGTCGAGCGGACGGGTCGTTGAAGCGCCAACCCAAGCCAGAGCGACAGCTTGATTCCTGAGTGTCGGGGGCACGGCGCCGCAATACTCAGAGGAGCATGACGTATCGATATTGATCGTTTTCCAGATTTTCAGGTTTTCCCGTTCTCCCGGGCGGGCTCCAGGGACGAATGGTCGAGCGCATTCCGTCGCGCAGGTTCTTTGCGCGATGTTCGTGGTGCATTTTTCGCGCATCGGAGCGCCCTCGAAGACTCCAAGCTGCAGGCTGTGTTGCTCTCAGGGGGTCCGCGAGTCGCAGCTGCCGCGGCGCTGTTTTCGAGGTCGCCCCTTCGAGTGCTGTTCGCGGGCGCAGCGCGCGGCGCGCGCTGCGCCCAATCGCGCGCGGCTCGGCGCGTGAATCAGCTGGCCGCGCCCGTCGGACCGCCCGGGCATTATTTCTGGATTGTAGCATGCGTCAGAAAACGCTTCCGGTTTTTTTGCGCGAGCGGTTTGGGAATTTTTCGAAAAGGAGCCCGGAAATTTTCAAAACACTTTTTTAAGGGTTGGAATGCGCCCGCCGCTCGGGACATCTGAAGAATTCTGAAATCCGGAATTTTTCAAATTGGATTTCGGAATTTTTCAAAATCGACCCCGGAAATTTTCAAAACGATTCTAGTATTTTTTCAAAAAAAAAAACAAATAGGCCGGACACGTTCAAAAACGCTTCCGGATTTGATCAACTTTCTACCCCAGAGAATTGTCCAGAGTCGCGCGTGATTTGCCTTGCCGGGTCTTTGAACTCCGCCGAGGCGCGCGGTGCGCGGCGGCGGGCGATGGGGCGGCGCGCCGCCGTCCCGCCCGCGCTCGGCAACGAGAAAAGGGTCAGCATTTGCCAAATGGCCCCCTACGGGCGACCGCTCGATTGCGAATGGGTGACCGACCAGCGGCGCCAACCAGAGTAGACAATACTCGGCGCAAAGTGCACCCCGTGCGAAGGCTGTTAGAAATCCCGGAATCTCCCGAACATATGAATAGCACGCTGTGTCAATATATTCTTCTCGCCCTGAATACATTGTGAGGAAATGCTACGCGAGGGCGCGAGTCCTGCGTGCATCCGGAGGAAGCCCCGCGCGAGAGAGCGAACTTTAAATAGATTGTGAGGAAGTGGCAGGCGGGAGCCGTACTTGAAAGAAATGTGCACCGCGCGCGGGGGGTCAACAATGCTTATTTTCTGGAAGGGAGAAGTCAGCAATCATTTAAAGACTGTTCGCTCTTACCCTTTCGCGTGCCACTCAACGCGTGTATCCCGAAGTCTCGATACCTGCAGTCTTCGTCTTCGTTCGTGCCCTCTGGAAGGACGGAGCGCGAGAGAGATTAGCAGGAGGGGGGCTAGGGGCTGAGAACACGTGGCAGAACCAGACGGGATGATCGGGCGGGTAGACCCTAACGGGCGGATCGGGAATGCGGGCCCAGGCAGCCAGGTCGAGCAGGCGGGATGCCGAAGCGTGGGTCTTGCATGAATCGCGAGGGGGACTCGAGCGACAGCGCAATTTCTAAGTACATCGTTCGAACAAGCCAGAGCGAGAGCATGATTCCTGAGCGTCGGGGGCGCGGCATTTGAATCAATTGCCAAAAAATGCCGCCAGAGCGCGATTCCTGAATGACTTACGAGGGCGTCCTGGGCGAGAAAACGATTTTGAAATTCATTGTGAGGAAGTATCAGGCGGCAGCCGCTGTTGCTGGGAACCGGGAACCATGGACACAATCTGAAGAGGCATATTTCCCTTAGTAAACAAAAAACCAGGTGCGAACCCAAGAGGAGCATTTCAAGTGGAAAAACGAGATGTGCACAGGAGGGGGGGGGATCAACACTCTTTGGTTTGAAATGAGAATCCACACAACAGCGCAGCATCCAGCCGCACCGCGGAACTCCAGCACAGCCGCGTGTTCAGGGACAGTGAGCGATCGTTCGGGCCCCTCACTCTGATACATATGTTCCCCCATGTCGCGCCCACCAGACGTATGGCTCACCATTCATGCCCCTGAAGCTTGAAATTGCAACAGCGTCAATGATGGAGAGCGGGCCGGTTTCAAGGTGTGGATCTCGCTTTAGCGTTGCGCGTATTTTTTCAAGTTCGTCACAGCCCCGATGAGGGAAGGAGGCTGGTTTTCAAACTGTTACTCTCGCATGAGCGCCGCGCGCATTTTTTGCGCACGTTCGCAACAGTCCAGAATGGCAAGCGGGCCAGTTTCAAAATGCGGTTGCCGCTTTAGCGCCGCGCGCATTCATTGCAAAAGGCTCACAACAACTTCACGAATGGAGGGCGGCTTCTTTTTTTCCTAATGGTTTTCGCCTTGGCACCGCGCGCATTCGCTTGAAACGCGTGCAAGAATTATAGGGGTTCGGACGGTTAAAGTCTCAGGAAATGAATGTTTTGGCACGATTTCGCTTTGTATTGCCCGAAGGGTCACGTGAAATCGCGACATTAACAAATATTCCAAAAATTGAGTTCTAATGCCATTTATGATTATCAGCACGCAGCAGTCTCGTTAATTCGCGGCGATGAAATTCCAGGGGCGGTGCTTTGGCACGTTCCCGACGTCGGTTCGAACTGCAGACATCCTTGCTTCGCAGCAGCAGCTCGCTCGAATTCGACTTTAGCTGTCGTTCGCTAAACTGTCCCAGGTGTGCCTCCCCCCCCCCTCCTCCTCCTCCTCCGCCTCTTCCTCTTCCTTAAGTTAATTGCATTTTCGCCTGCCAACTCTGCGGGCCTCTGCATCAAGCGGCGGAGCTGTCGCTTCAAGGCCCCCGCCAGTGATGCACCCTTGTTGGCTGCCTGGAACACCTTCGGCCACAAGTGGCTCAAGGATATGATGGATTGCCGAGCCGACTGCTTTCACGCTGCTACTATTCAAACTGAGCGGGCGGAAGTTCTGGCATTTCATGGTGATCCGAATCGGAGATGAACTAGCTTCTCCTTTTGGGGGAAGCGCGAACAAGGAAAGGTTGGCCTCGAATGGGAGCTTGCCTTCAGAATAATATGTTACTATATGCAGTAGAGAGTGGATGTAGAACGAGGATGGGACAACCAAGCAGCAAATTGAGTTTCTAGTGATGTAGCTTCCGTGCCCAAGCCTGTCCATAATGTTGCTTGAGCTAGACATGATTCGCTGAGGTATTACAATGGGCATTCGCTAGGTGATAGATGTATCATCTACTGGCCGACTGCGTCTGCTTGATTCGGAAGCATGGAGTTAACGCCATGTGCGAAATAGCTAGCGGAAGTATGTGGGCCTTCGCCGTGGATGCAATTACCCGCTTCCGGGGTGTTGCGCGAGCCCGTGCTGATGACGTCGGTCTTCTCCTGGCCCGCACTCCCAGTATGCCACCCATTGCCAAGACCTTGAGTGTTGAGGAAAAGTTGGCAGGCATAGCGTTGCAACCCATCAAACGTAGCAGTTCCTCTATGGACCCCTCTTGGCGAAGCAGTAACCCAGCAGACCAGCTAAGATCTTCGTGCTGTCGCCCACGAGTGGAGTACCTTCTCAGCCTCCTCTCGTGTAGTGAGATGTACTTCGGTGTCTGGCTGTGACCTGGTACGGCAGCAGCACGACACTGGCCGAGCCCCCACTGAAAAAGGTGGGCTCGCATCCGCCTAGCCAGTGCTACTCGAGCCCCACCCTCTGCCCTCGCGCTATTGCACGCGACGTCCATCCTGCTCGGTCTCAGTTACGCTGCTCAGCTGTATCATCCAGTCGCGCGTCGCGCTGAAAAAGAAGTGCGCGGATTGCAGAAGCTGCGCCGCTTTCCTGAGAGTTCCTGCGAGACAGCCGATCTATTATAGTTTAAGTTGCGGCGCCCAGGCGGCGGGCCGATTTCGATCTTAGTTATGTGTGTGCGTGTGTTGCGTCAGCATGGAGATTGCGCACCACCGCTCTCGCAGGCTGGCGTCCACCACTCGAGAGGCTGCAGAGGCTGCTTCTCTCGCTTGCTCCTCCCAGGGTTGGCGGTCACCGCCCTGGTGAAAAGAAAAACATACATCGTTCAACACGTCGCCAACGCTTGCATGTGCAAACCGTTGCATGTGCACAGAACCTGCACTGTTTCTATGGCTGTTCAGCGAGCAGCGATTACGGCGGGGACGGCGGAACTCACTCATGTCGAGTCGTTGCAGCGGGGAGGGAAGCCGAAGATCCAGCGTGCTGTAGCGCTCCAGTTCGCCTGACATCTGTATCACGATACCTTTTCCTGACACTTCGCGTCGGAGGTTATGTAAATGATACCCTGAACTAGATGTGCCTGATGCTATTGTTCCCAGGTGGTCATTTTTCCAATCATACCTCTGTAAATGCAAACCGGCTATCAGATGCTGTGCCTTCAAAGCGCCGTGTGAAGCTTGGGCTACTATTTGGTCGTATGCACGGAGTCCCTAGCTCCAGAGGTTGTTTTATGGGTTACCCCGATAGTTCAGATAGTACACAGCATTGTTTCGCTTGTCCGAGTTTTTTCGAGCGTGTTACTGATCTTCATTGGCCGTTTCACAGGGACGTATTAGTCAGGCTGGGTCTTCGTGGAGTATCGGCGCATCAGGGTCAGCGCTCGCTCGGCTATGTTGCTCGTTATCTCGCCATCGCCCCCTGCGCAGGTGACGCCATGAAGGGTGAGGCGCCTCTCCTCACGTCTACCTTACTGTTCCTGCCGCCGCTCGCTGTCGGCCCTCGCATCATTTTCACGAAGGAAGGGACATGTACCAGCACGGGAGTAGTTCGGACGTTGGACTTCTTCATCGTGTCTGCAGGCCTGAGCCGTTGCTTGCAGTCGGTCGAGACGGTGCTCGGCACCGATATCAAGACGCACACCCCCGTGCGCATCCTCTTCCACCCGCAGTTGGCTGAGCTCAAGGCCCTCCGGTTCCTGAAGCCCCCGAAGCTTCCAGCTGAGCGGCCAGTCGGCCCTCAGCCTCAGCCACCAGACATCCCAGAGGTTTTGGACTGCGCCAACTATGGCATGGATCTTGTTTCGCGGAAGGCCCCCAGAGGCCAAGTGCAGCGGCATCCCGACACGCTGCACCGTATCTGGGCTGATACTGCCGAGTGGGAGTTACCCCAGGTCCTCCAGAAGGACCTGCGTATCTGGGGTACCAGGGGCAGAAGGCCTCGTCTGGCCTGGGTCTCGGCTCTCGACAGGGACTCCAAGGCCTCTTACACGGATCCCATGTTGTTCGTTGGCAGATGGTTATCTCGCTCCATTCGGTTTCTCCTGGGGGCTATGGGCGACGGAGACGTCGTTACGTTCAGCAAGTACAAGCATCACATCCTGGAGGCGCCCCAAGGCATCTTCGAAGCTTTGGGAGACTTCCTGGGGGTATATCGTACGTGTTCTGCTTTGGTCTTGGGGTTCGAGGATATTCATGCTGATTCGGGAGGTCTTCTTGAATGTCAAGCTTTTCTTGAACCCAGATTAGATGAGTATGCTAGGGCTTCCTCGCAGCGATCTTTGAAGGCGTGGCGCAGTTGGCTTTTAGACGGGATCGACAAGGGAGGGCGTAATGCCCATAGGTGGACCAAGGAGCTGAAGCCTTGGGTGGCGGCCACCACGCTCTCGGCCGAAGGGCTCGTCCTCTCGGGCCCTCTGTCGCTTCTACAGGCTGAGGGGATCAGGTTCGGTGAGTTGTGGAATTCGAAGTCCCACCCCCCTGAGGCTTGCAAGGGGCCCATCGAGTACCTGGAAGGCCTAAGTCCCCTCACGCCAGACGACCTGATTGCTGTGAGTAAGTCCTACGCAGTAGGTACAGCTACGAGTGTGGGCGGCTTTCACATGCGCCATTTTTCGATGTTGCAACCAGGCCTACTGTCAGTCTTGTGCACGCTCTACTACATGATGGAGTGCACGGGGCTCATGGCCCACCAGACGCAGGTATTGGTCACTCTCCTCCTAGCCAAACCAGCAGGAGGATATCGGCCGATCAGCTTTTTTCAGCATGCTATAGACTTTGGGCGAGAGTTCGCCGCCCCTACGCCGAGCGATGGGAAGCCGATCATCAGCGGACCTACCCCGCAGCTGGGTCCTTCAACCCAGCTCTCGACGTAGTCTACAGGCAAGCCGTCAGAAATGAACAGTCTGTGGGTAAAGGCAAGGTTGTAGCTAAGATCCTCTGGGACCTCTACAAGTTCTACGAATCGGTTCGGCTTCCTAAGCTCGTGGGGCGTTGTGATGCACACGGTTTCCCCAAGCAGATTTACAGGGTCTCGATCAAGGCCCACGGTGGGGCCCGTTTTATATCTCTGGGGGGCTTTTTGCATGGCCCGCATTTCAGTGAGCACGGAGTCGTTGCTGGTTGCAGTTTCGCCACTACGTACATTAGGGCCTACGTTATCCCCGCGATGGACCTCCTGAGGCCCCCCTACCAGGTTCAGCTCGACATCTACATAGACGACTACGGTATTTCTAGCAGCGGGTCTGGGAAATCGGTAGTGTCTTCGCTGAGGGTGGCCTCGGGGGAGCTCCTGATTGCCTTCGAAGAGGACATGGAGTCGCAGATCTCGGTTGACAAGGCAGCAGTGATTTCCTCCGTCAAATGGGTTGGTCTGGCAGTGAAGTCTTTCTTGGGGAGGTACGGCGGGCCTTCCGATGACTGCCGCGCCGCCATCCATCTAGGCATCGACGACGGCGCTAGTCAGGCGCGTCGTGCCAGAGGACGAGGTTGCAAAGTTGCTGCTCGCCTCCGTGTTTTTCGACAGAGAGCCAAGAGAGCCTTCAAATGTAGGCAGGCACTTGGGCGTCATTCCCGCAACATATTCGTGTCTGGGCCAGTGGCGTCGATGACGTATGGGGCGGCTGTCTTTGGGGCGCCTGACCACGAATAGGTGATCCTGAGGTCGGGTTTCGGCAAGGCTGTCAAACCATCGGCTGGCTCGAGGTCCCCCACGGCCCTTTGCATTCTCGAGAACGACCCGATTTATCACGCGTCTATTGCACCCATCGCTCGGTATTCCAGAGAGATTTAGGACACCCAGGTGCAGCAGACCCCTTTCGCTTTAGGATTTCGTGAGCTTCGTGCTGCCTGGGGTGACACCTGGGCCAGTCCGCCAAGCTCGTGGCGCAGAGTACGCGGCCCGATCGGCGCCATGTTTCTTTCGCTCAGCCGTGCAGGCTGGTCCATGACGTCCTTCGCGCAGCTGAAGAACGATCTCGGTGTCGAGTATTCCCTGACTATCTATCCCCCCCAGCTTATCAAGCAGTTGCTGCATGAAGGGGCCGTCAGGAGGCTGTGTAGAATTTCGGCGCAGGAGCTCGGACTTCAAGGCCGCGCATGTTACGACGCTGTGATCAGAGACTTGCGCAGCTCGAAATACACCTATTTTGAGAAGGGGTGCATCCGTGCCAATGCCTGCGGGGCCTGCTGGACCCAGGAGGAAGCTGTTTCCTTCGGATATCAAATCCCTGAGGTCCGCTGTTCTCTGTGTGGTGGCCCTTCAGACTCCATGTGGCACAGGTTGTGGGTGTGTCCTGGGGTTGGCGATCTCAGGAAGGAGCTTTGTGATCCCGAAGTGTTGCAGGCCAGTTCCGATGTGGACCTCGCCACCGTCTCGAACGACCAGCTCGTGTAGTTCACTAAAGGGATCTTCA